GTTGTTAACTGAGTCTAGTTATAATGTGACACCAACTTGTCTTTTCTTGGCATCTTGAATAATGAGATCCGTTGAGTCTTTTTGCTTGTTTTTGAAACAGGATCTCACTATGTAGCTCTGGCTGGCTTGGAACTGGATGTATAGACCAGGTTGGCCTCAAACTCACAGAAATCCACCTGCTTCTGCCACCCAAGTTCTGGGATTAAAGATGTGTATCACCACACTTGGCCTAGGAGATCTTTGTTTTATCTCAACAAGGACAAAATGAGGCTTCTCTCATGAGGATAAAACGTACCGGCTCATGGACACCAGCACGAATGACCTGTGGCTTTTACTAATGATGCTGAATATAAAGTTCTTGGTGACATGGTTCCTTTGAGCTCACTCAACTTACTATGTAGTTATCACTTAACAATACAAAACTGGAAAACTTCACTAGCAACTGAATTATTTCCTTTCTCATCTGCCTGCATAAAACTCCCAGGTGCAAGGGCAGCTCAGGATCTACGAGCTTCTCTTGGTATTGTGATTTTAGCAGGAAAGGAGTTGGGCTCGCCTACCTTAAAAAGCTAACTATTAAAACTGTTGACTTTCTATCTTACTATTTTTTAATTTCTAATTTTTTTTATTTTTATATTTTGATTGTTTGTTTGTTTTTTGAGACAGGGTTTCTCTGTGTAACAGTCCTGGCTGTCCTGGAATTCACTCCGTAGACCAGGTTGGCCTCCAATTCACAGAGATCTGCCTGGCTCTGCCTCCCAAGTACTAGGATTAAAGACATGTGCCACCAACTGCCCGGCTAAAATGAGTCTAGGATCTTTTTTTTTTTTTAATGTATTTTTTATTTTGTGTGTGTTAGGTATGTGAGTGTCTGCCTGTGTGATACATGCACCAAATGCATGCTTGGTACTCAGAAGAGAGCATCAGATCCCCTGAAACTGGAGTTACCATCAGTTGATAGCTGCTATATAGGTGTTGGGAATCCAACCTGAGTCCTCTGCAAGAGCAGCAAATGTTCTTCACAGTTGAGCTATTTCTCTGGGCCCTGTTTTACTGTTTTAAAGATGAGGTATACAGTTAACACTTGGGACTGGCCTATGTGTATACTTTTGGCTGCAAAGAGAGGTCTTGGAGCCTGTAGAAAGGCATGGCCACAAGGAAGGGATGGGCATCTCAGGTAGAGGTGTCACTGGCAAAGTAGATAACAGCTCACTCTTTCAAGGACCAGAAGATGTTAGCATTGGCAGGCTTCCTGACACGCTAGAGATTTGTAGCTCACTGGCAGTCTGAGCTCTGTGGTCAAGAATTAAAATACTCATTAGTCAGTGGCAAGAAGACAGCGAATGTCACTGTTGAAGTGACAACGAACTGTTTATATCATACACACAGCACACCTGTGACACTGTGAACTCCTGTCCTTCATGTGTCTTGTTTTTCTTTTAAATGCGGAAGCAGTGTTGGACCCATGGCCTGGCAAGCACATCTTTGAGTTAGCTGAAAGTGTCTTTCTTTCTTTTTAAGAATGAAACAAGTCATTGACTCTTTGTTCTAATGCTTCTCGTTGGCAGCTCCACAACTCCCGTAATTCTGTCTAGATCTCTCTGTCCCTGAGGTGTCGTCTTGTGGCCCCCAACTTAGTCCTTTTCCACCATTTTCATCCCCTGTAGGGCTTGGAAGACACAGTCTTAGAGCCTCTGCTGAAGTGGCAGGGCATGACGTCATTTCTCTGATGTCCTCTGAAGATTTGGGTGATGGATCCAACCCCAGCATTATCCCAGGTGTACTGGGGCCGCTCGGAGGAAGCGGCTCTTGTGGAGAAGAGCTGTTCTCTATTTCTCACCACAGAGAACGAGCTCTTTATGTTTGGCCACTTTGGCTGTGTCCTTCCATGCAGGAACCTTCAGCTTCCAGACTTTCTGAGGAATGCTGCCAGAGCTCTGACACACTCCTGCTGGTTGACGTCTTTTACACAAATTCCAGGCACCCTGAAGTCTCTGGGATGCTAGCCAGGGGAAAGTGGATGAAACATGGTGTGTGTGTGTGTGTGTGTGTGTGTGTGTGTGTGTGTGTGTGTGTGTGTACGTATATGTCCCCTCTGTCTCTCTTACACACACACACACACACACACACACACACATCTCTAGTGTGTACCTCTACAAAGAAGGACACACCTTCACACCAATGCCTTACACTAGGACATCCTATCTCTTTTTATCTCCTTCAACCTGAAACAGCTCCTGAGTCTCCCCTTAACACACCATTGGAAGATTACAGGGTAGTTATTTGGCAGGGTGTCATTCAGTTTGGGGTGACCTGAGGTCCTCATGACCAGACTGAGGTCATGAGTCCTTGGCAGCAGTGTTGGGGTGCAGAGGCTGGGCTTTCATTGCATCCTATCAGTTTGGATCTCATTTCAGCTTGTCCCCGTTTTGAGGGTGTTCACTTTGTCACTTAAGGTGCTTGCCCAGTGTCTCCACCCAAAGAATTATTCTTTACCCCTTTATTATTGATGAGAACCTTAAGAGGCACTTTGAAGATATGGGAATATATGGTTTGTTAGCCAGTTTTCCACTTGTTCATTTATTTATTTATGTCTATGTGCAGTCATAGCTCTTGTTAACCAGTGGATTACAATCCAATACTACTATTATTCAGTTTAATATAGAGACAATCAACAATGTGGCCAGTAGGAACTCCTCCAAGCTGCCTTCTATGTCTGATTGACTTGTATCCATCTTCCTGGAGTACCTCACTACCCCTGACTGCAAGAGACCCCAGGCTCAGCCTGTACCACCCCTGAAACAGATATTTCCCCCACGGGATCCTGGCTCATTTCAGTGGAAGGAGCCTTCATAAACCAAGGTCTGGGCACCAGACTTCTTCATTGCCGCCAAGAGAGCATTGATGGCAAAGCTTCTAAGGAGATAGACCCAGAGAAGACGTTTACATCCATACACAGGTTTACACCGTGTATGCTGTGTATGCTCTGTGATGCTCACCTTTAACTCAAGTCTACTACTGAAGAGTTCATGCTAGTTTTCTGACTTTCCAAGCTCATGACTCTCTTCTCCGAGTAAGAAACTGGCTCTACCACCCTCAGTCATTTACCTAATCGAGCGATATATATACACTTGTAGTGGGTGCTCCATCTCTGCTCTGGTTGCCTCTGTAGGAATACCCTCTTCCTCTCCCTGCTCCGGCTGCTACATGGAGGAGGTAGGTCCTCCTTATTCTACCCTGGTGCTGATGTTCCATGTGGCTCAGTCCCCTATACAGACATTTTCCTCTCCCAGGGTATTATGGGTCAGAGTCTGGAATGGGTGCTCTCAGGTTCTTGGCTCCTGTTTAAGAATGGAATAAAAGGGGATGGAGAGAGGGCTCAGTGGTTAAGAGGGCTTGCTGCTCTTGCAGGGATCCTAGGTTCAGTTCCTAGCACCCACATGTAACAACCACTGACTCCACTTCCAGAGGACCTGATGACCTCTTCTGGTTTGTTAGCAAACTGCATGCACATAGTGCACAGACATACATTCAGGTAAAACACTCATTCATTCGTATATATATCTTTAAAAAACAGTCCTACACAGACTGCAAAGACATTTTATTTAAAGTAAGCAATAGAACAGATTAGACACACTGTCAAGATTGACAGAGGGCCAAACAAGTGAGGCGATCAAGGGCCCCAGTTATTTTGGGGGTTCAAAAGGAGGTGAGCTTGCTTGGTGGAGTACAGAAGTTTCTGTTTTGATAGAGTAGGATTGTGTACATCTTTGCTTAATGCGCATGCCCAGTTATACATAGGCAGAAGACAGTAAATAGGGGGTTTCTCCTAAAAGTTTACTTGGGTGTACAGTTTTGCCTTATTGTACCTGTACCTCTGCCCTGTCTAGGCTGAATAGGTCCATTACCTGTAATTCCAGGACTGTGTTCCAGGAAGTCTGGAATCTAAATGAGGCATATCGAGGGATTGCTAGGAGGGGTGACTTATTTCCATTGTTTAAAACAGGCGTGCATGCAACTTGATTTAGGCAGGAGACCTAAGCTGTTAACAAGTTTGTGGGTGTATTGTTTGGAGATGGGTGTGTGTATAGCCCAAGCCAAGTGGAGCCCCAGGCTGCTAAACTATTCCCTATGCTTGTCTGTCTCAACAGGGCCTCTGGCACCCATTCTAGTGCCCTCCTCAGTCTTACCAGGTTTCACCCTGGTAGAGACCGAATCTTACCATGCTGCCTATCTTTCCAAGCCTGACCTAATGTCTTTAAAACCTCATTGTTTAGAAGAGTTACGCCCAATTTGTGAGTTTCTCGAAGCCAAGGACTATATTTTAAGTTTTTCTAAATTCTGGAGACGTGTATGGAAAGGATAACCATCCGGGCTTTATGACCAGTTAGTGAGAGAGCAAGGGATCGTATAGACTTTCATATCCATCCTTTGCAAAGATACAGACTGATGGCCTTTGAACAGGAGTAGAAATGAGATTGCAAGTGAACTATGAACAGCTTAACCTGTATCTTAACTCTGTATCTATTAACCAAAAACTGTTTAGACAAGTGGATTCAATCCACGACCACAGGAGCTGGGGGAGCCTGGTCCCCAGGTCATAGAGTTTCAGTGACACACTGTCTCCTCTCTTCAAGACGAATTACGCTGTGAGTGCGGGCCTGGTAGTGGGCATCTTCATTGGATTTCAAAAAAAAGCCTACATGTCTGCAGACAACCTTCCTGCTCTCGCAGCTCTGCTCATGCTGTATGGGTAAGCCACCTGGGCCAGGGGAGGAGATATTATCTTCTGACAGCGAACTTCGGTCCTCTTGTAGTGGGAGCACGTGCAAGCCTAGTTTCCAGCCCCAGAAGCTTTGGTGGAGCTAATCAGAAATCTGTCTGGCTGACTCCGGCCATGTAATTCTGAGTCCTAGTCCATTCAGGGAAAGAGATAGTCTGAATCTTCTTCACTTCCAACTGTGGCCTTGACCAAAGTCTGGGACTCGGTCCCTCTCCACTTCCTCCCCAGCTCTGATTTCTATTCTCTCTGTGAGCAAGCTGCCCGGTGTAGTGTCTCTCTCTGCACTTGCCAAGAATTGTCTGCCTACTGTAGAAGATTGCAGGCCATAACACTACCCCATATCAGGCTAGAAGATGACATAGAGAGCAAATCCAATTGAATTACAGAGCACAGGGCACAGCTTTGTATCCCTGGACGATCACTTGCTATAGGTTTAACTGCTGACAGATAATCCATTTAACTGGACCTAAAGCTCCTCGTCTATAAAAAAGACGATGCTTAGCTCTTCCTTATGTAGAGGGGAGAGTCTTACCAGAACAGTGGCCTCCATTCATCCCAGAACAATGGCCTCCATTCATCTCTCTTGAAAATGGACTCAGAAGCCAGCTTGACTGTGAACTATGCAATGAGCTGTGAGGATGAGTTCTTGGGACCTTCAGTTCTGCTTTACCTGGAGTAGAGAGCATTACCGTGGGTGGCCTCTGAGCTTTATGGTTCATAAAGTTCACACATAGCTCCTGCCTCATTTGCTCCTCATAAAAGTCATGAGACGGTCAGGGCAAGCATCATCGTCTCCCTTTGAAGACGAGGCACAAAAAACAATGGAGTCTTTCCTTTCTCTCCCTGGAACCCCAGCCAGTTCAAATATGTCACCCGGTATAAAGAGGTCTAGTGGACAGGATGGGTCTTGGAACTCTCTCCCCCTGAGCCGTGTCTTCTCACACAGATGGGCAATCATCCCCATGATGTACCCGGCATCCTTCCTGTTTGATGTCCCCAGCACAGCCTATGTGGCTTTGGCCTGTGCTAACCTGTTCATCGGCATCAACAGCAGCGCCATCACCTTCGTCCTGGAATTGTTTGAGAATAACCGGGTGAGCAGAGCTTTCCTGGCTCCTTGGTTTAATTAGTAGGATGTTAGAGCAGATGCACCGGTCTCCAGAGCCATGGCAAACACTGTGCATGCAGATTTATGTGCACAGATGAGCAGGGCCGCCTCCCCTCCCCTCCCCTCCCCTCCCCTCCCCTTCCCCGGCACTACCCCCTTCTCTTGACTCTTGATTTATGCACTCTGAGAGCCATGGTTCTGTGCGCCTCTTCTTTAAGCTATATATATTCACTCATGATTCTAACTTTTTAGATTAAAGCTAGAAAGTTTTCCTAGGAGGATTTAGATTGCATGTGCTTGCGTGCGCGCGCGCGCACACACACACACACACACACACACACACACACACACACACACACCAAACATACTAGCATATACTGTCTGTCCTGCTCCCAAAGAAATCCTGAGGACAGGATTAGGAAGTCCTGGCGCTGAATGACTCTGTTTTACAACCTAGGAGCCCACTTGCCCTATCTATACCCCCTGACTTCCCCCAGTCCAAAAGGAAGTGCCAGACAGAACCCTTAAAAAAGAGGAGAGTAGGTGATTACAGAGCTGTCTTTATCCCTCACTCCTTATGGCTACTGTCCTGCTCTGCCTGTGCCGAGCTCTGGCTGTGCCATCCTCTGCCTGTGCCGTGCTCTGCCTGTGCCATGCTCTGGCTGTGCCATCCTCTGCCTGTGCCGTGCTCTGCCTGTGCCGTGCTCTGGCTGTGCCGTGCCCTGCCTGTGCTGTGCTCTGCCTGTGCTGTGCTCTGCCTGTGCCGTGCTCTGCCTGTGCCATCCTCTGCCTGTGCCGTGCCCTGGCTGTGCCATCCTCTGCCTGTGCCATCCTCTGCCTGTGCCATCCTCTGCCTGTGCCATCCTCTGCCTGTGCCGTGCCCTGGCTGTGCCGTGCCCTGCCTGTGCCGTGCTCTGCCTGTGCCGTGCCCTGCCTGTGCCGTGCCCTGGCTGTGCGGTGCCCTGCCTGTGCCGTGCCCTGGCTGTGCGGTGCCCTGCCTGTGCCGTGCCCTGCCTGTGCCGTGCCCTGCCTGTGCCAAGCTCTGGCTGTGCCATGCCCTGCCTGTGCCGTGCTCTTCCTGTGCCGTGCTCTGCCTGTGCTGTGCTCTGCCTGCGCCGTCCTCTGGCTGTCCTCCCAGCAATCCAGCTCCCGGGTGTGGTGGTGGCCTGTGTCCTCAGGTGTCTCCTTAGCCTGTCCTTTTCTCACTAGTTCTTCACAGGTCAGAGGGTGGCCACACATCTGCACTGAGTGCTGCCCGAGGCCAGAGGCCCAGCCTTGCTCTGTGAAGGCACTAGAGCCCACCTGCTCACAAGGGGACAGGTAGTTTCAGCCTCCGCTCTCAACAGCTTCGCTTCTCTTTCTCAGACGCTGCTCAGGTTCAACGCCATGCTGAGGAAGTTGCTCATTGTCTTTCCCCACTTCTGCCTGGGCAGAGGCCTCATCGACCTGGCACTGAGCCAGGCTGTGACAGACGTCTATGCCCAGTTTGGTGGGTAGCATCCTAGGTCTGTGGGTCACAACCATGGAGCCATCCAGGCTGAGAAAGCTACAGGGGTTCTGATGTCAGACCTGCAGTCTAGAGGCTGGGAGGTCACCTAAATGCTGGGCAGGCATAATGCTGCCACGTGGAAGGGATTAGGGTGCCTCTGTTTCTGTGGCTGGGGAGCCACAGGTGGGGCCAAGGACAAGATTTTACCCTCCTACACTCTGACCTGGGAAGCCAAGAGGAACTTGATTTGGGGTCTCCTTTAGGCTCTGGCCTGGGTATCTGGGTCATGGTCGGGTCCTCATGGGTGAGCCTGGGAGCCCTAATGCAGACTTTATTCCCACTAATGAACTCTTGCTTCCATCCCCAGGTGAGGAGTACTCTTCCAACCCATTCCAGTGGGACCTGATTGGGAAGAATCTGGTTGCTATGGCAATAGAAGGGGTGGTATACTTCCTTCTGACACTCCTCATCCAACACCACTTTTTCCTTACCCGCTGGTATGTCTTACTGCGCCCCAAGGTGTCATCTGGTAGCGAGTGTTTCCAACCCTGGGCTTCACATCAGCATGGTTCTCAGAAACTGCATTCTGATTTTTTTCTTCATTCTTAAAGCCTACTTGTTCTACATACTACAGGAAAAAGAGTTAAAATGGGCCTGTTAGAATTTGAGACAAGTCTTAGCTTCAAACTTTTAGAACTATAATGGTTTCATTTCAGTTACTAATATTTAACCTTCTTGTATCATTACCACATCCCTGTCTTAAACTGGATGCTAGCACCGTAAATAAGGATCGCTGTGGAATATCCAAGATATGAGGAAGCAGGGTTTTGATCTATGAGGAATGAGACAAAACGAACTCCCTTGCTAGTTAGAACATGGAGTGCAGGAGTTCCTTTGGGACCTTGTGATGGGTGAGGGCAGCCAGGGACCTAGGGAGAAGAGAAAGAAAGCAATCCAGCCTCCATGCCTATCTCCAAGCGAGATGTTTGCCAACCCTAGAATTTCCAGAACATCTCAAAGGTCAGCTCAGCCAGCTCATGCTCCTGATCCTCCATTCTTCTTCCCCAAGCTCTTCTCCAGCCCTGCCTGCCTCATGCTGACAACCCCTTCAGAGGGCCACACACCCAGGGCCCTGCGTCGCAATCGCCCAGGCCCTCCCTAAGAACTTTTATGACAATTTTCTTGTTGTTGTTTCTTAACCTTTCCTTCTCTCAGGGTGAGTTTGATAACATGTAAATAAAAGGGTCCCCAGGCTGGGTGCTTATAAATGACCTACTTCCCTAATGACGGGTTGAGAGGGCTGAGAAAGAAAAGAAATTAAAACATGTGGAATAAACAGTGGTGCTTCTAGTTATGGGCCAGACTGTGGGAACCTATGGGTGGGCCTCCCAGCCTTTTGCAGACCCCTCAAAAGTGTTGTCCAGAAGGTTTAAAAGAGAAGAGGGGAAGAGAGTTGATTACCAAAACTAAGTCATTTAAACTATGATGCTGCCACAATGAAGTGAGCGCTAGAGGATCAGAGAGGCCCGGTTTCCAGACACTCAACGCCTACACCCATGCTGATGATTAACAAGCACAGGGAGTGGAAGGGAGGAAGAAAGGAAGGATGCTCTCGGTAGAGGACAAGGCCTGCACAAAAGTACAGTAGCCCCGGAGAGTAAGTGTAAAAAAAAAAATGGGATGAAGGAACTCCCAGGGAGCCATGGAACAGGAAGGTGAAGGGGGTACAGGATGGGTACAGAGGGGAAGACAGTGTTGGATCATGAAATGCTCGTCATCTTGATGACTTGGGACTCAAGAGCAACATGAAGTCCCTGGGGTCTTTTAACCAGGAAGTGACATGATCTTACCACAGCTGAGAGGTGAGAGAGGAGTTCACGTTGACATGCAAGAGACAACGGTGACCAGGATGGGGATGGAGGCACTGGGCAGTGATAGAGAAAATCAGAAGAAAGTCCTTCAGACAAGAGTTAGTGATAGACCAGATGTGGTCAGTGAGGGAGGAGGGAAAGGCTGAAGCCCTAGGTCAGGCATGTCTAACTTACAGCCTACTGGCTGCACACATCCAAGGAGAGCTATGAGTATAGCATGACGCCCTTGGAGAGGACAATGCCATATCAGTGTCAGAAGGCTGGACACTGGGCACATAGGTGGTCAGAAGGATTTCCAGAGGAGGAAGATTCTCTTGGCAGGGCAGGAGGAAGAGAACACGCTGAGGCCAGCAGGGGGAATGGCCTGCATGAGGTAGTGACCAGGACAGGTGCCAATGGTTGGTGGAGAAGTGAGCGCATTAAGAATGTGCAGCTGGCGAAGGCTTGTGGGACACGGAAGCTTGGAGGATTAGACTTGGAATTTAGCGCTTACAAAGAACCTAGAAAGATTTGGAAGCATGTGTTCATAAGATGACAAGGCTATCTTGACATTGGGTCGGTAGGGAAGGCTGCAGGAAGAAGGAAGGGCTGGTAGACGATAGCTCGCCGACATTGCACTCGACACAGAGGAAAGCTTTTAATAATGCAACACGAGCTTCCAGCAGGCATCATTCAGAGTGCATCTTCACACATCCCTGAGATGGCCTTCTTCCTTCCCCTTCACATGCTTGAAGAAGGCAAGGCCCAGAGAGGTCTGGCGGCAAGCACAAGGTCGTGCAGGAGGCAGGGCTGCCATGCAGGGCTGATTTGAGCAGAAGCACGTGACCTCTCTGCCTCGTGTCCCTCCTGTCGGGAGCCATTTTGACAGTAGACTTAGAGGAAAGAAGTCCAGGGAAGTAAATGTGCGGGATGGGATGACAGTTAGGTGAAGCGGACAGTGTGACGGTTACTACGTGCCCAGCCCAACCTTGTCCACATTCCTTCCTCTAGGGTCGCCGAGCCCGCTCGAGAGCCCATTTTTGATGAAGACGATGATGTGGCTGAAGAAAGACAAAGAATTACTAGTGGGGGAAATAAAACTGACATCCTAAGGTTAAATGAGCTAACCAAGGTGAGGGGCACAAGTGGGAAATATCATCTTGGAGGTATGAGCTGACCCACACATGGCATGGGACCATCCTGTTGGCCTGTACAACAAGCATGCCATCTCTGTAACTGTCACTTGCCGTCCGGGAGCACCTGTTTCCCATGGTACTGTCCCTGCTGTTCATCTTGGGTACTGCAGGGCCTCCAGAAGAGCTTCTCCAACTGAGTGTCAGCATCTGCCCTCTGTTCTGTGTGTGGTGGTGTGGTCCGCCCTCCACACCTCTCCTGTCGTGGCTCCTCTCCTGTTGCCATGCTAATGTGTGACCTCCTAGCGTTGGTGGCTTTCTCCCAAAACACTCTTTGCTACCTTCTGCTCTTGGTCCACTGTCCCCCTCTACCCCTGTCTTGGTCTTCAGCCCGGTTTCTTTGCATCTTCCAGGTTTACTCCGGCTCTTCCAGTCCAGCCGTAGACAGGTTATGTGTCGGAGTCCGTCCTGGAGAGGTGGGTACCATACAGACTAACGTGGAATAGCTCCTGAGAAAAATCAGCCCTTAACCATGAATCTTCTCCCTCCAAGCAGAGCTGGACGGCAGGAATCTAATGAAAGCCAAACTTTCTAGGAGATACAGGGAAAAAGAAAACAGAATAAATTTACTATTTTTATTTTTCCCAATATAGCTAAAATATTTCAATGTGTAATTACTATAAAACATTATTGAGATATTTTTAACTTTTCTTTGTTGTTCTTGTTCTAAGTCTTCAAAGCCAGTGTGTCACACACTTCGCACCCATGTCAGTTAGAATTAGGTGTGTTTTCTGTTGGTAGCCACACATGACCAATAATCTCAGTGATGGCAGCCCAGGTATAAATCGATGCTTCCAGCTCTTGCACTGGCCTGGGGTCTGGCAGTGGAGCCCTCCTTGGTCACCAGGGTAACACCTGTCTTCTGTTTTCTCCTAGTGCTTTGGGCTCCTGGGAGTGAACGGTGCAGGCAAAACCACCACATTCAAGATGCTCACTGGGGACACCACAGTGACATCAGGCGATGCTACCGTAGCAGGCAAGAGGTGAGTGCTCTGTCCTGCCTGCGGTAGGGCGTCCCCCATGGTCCATGTTTCTCAGTCACATGCCAGAGACCCAGAAAGATCTATGCAGAAGGGAGACCTCCCACAGAATGTGATTAAGAAATGCACAAGACAGAGGCACACTGGGAAACCAAACTACACTGTAATGGCTCAAAGAGTGTTCTTAGCATGGATTTCTAGAAAGTTCTGGGAAACACTAAGTTGGTGCTTCTTTCATCTCTGTGGTCTATAAACTCCTTTCAGCAACCGATGAGCCCTGCATCATCTGCCTCTCTAAGAATATTCCATAGCCTCTCATTATCTCCCTCCTGACAGTTTACAAAGCTTCGAGGAATTTATTGAGCCCTGGAGTATACCCATGATCCCTCTGCAGCCTCTGGATCCCAGGTTAAGAACTCCCAGGATGATACATCCTTTCTCTAGGTTGAGTGTCAGAATGGAGGTCCTCATTCAAGGGACCTCGGGAGGACTTGATCAGATTTGGCTGTTGGTATGGCAATCCTTTCTCTCATCAGACTAAGGAAAGTTGAGAGAGAGAAAGCTGGCTGTATCCTTGGCTTTTGGAGAGTCACTGTGGCCTCTGGAATAATGTGAGTTTAAACAGACTTGTCCTCTAGGAGGCAGGGCAGGGAAGACGATGAATGGCCTTATTGCTGGCTGCTCCTGAACAGCAATGCTCTCACACAGTGAGGGTGCTCAAGAGGGTGCTCATGCAGTGAGGGTGCTCACGCAGCGAGGGTGCTCACACAGTGAGGGTGCTTACACAGTGAGGTGCTCATGCAGTGAGGGTGCTCACGCAGTGAGGGTGCTCACAGCCCTCTTTTCTGATTTATAAGTGGGGACAGACACTGCTGACAGCTCCCTGGCACCTGATGACGAAGACCCCCTTCCTTTACCAAAAAGCCCTGCTCAACACAGCCCAGTGGGCAGCCAGAGTCCTGAGCACACCTCCGGGACTCAGATAAGATGAATCCAGAGTCCTAGCCCTCCATGGCCATGCCTGGTGGATCTGAAGCCAACAGATTACAAAGATAGGGCCAGGTCATGGCTGAGTGTATGTCACCTGCCACCCAGCTGTCGGCCACCGAGCGAGCGACTCCACGGTGATAACAGCAGGAGTTGTGGAGAGAAGGTTCAGTGAGGGATGCAATAGGAAGTTTTTAAGTGACACCAGTTTTAGTACAGGTGAGACATGGCCTGATATTCTAAGGTAAAACTGAGCTGCAAGTATGGTGGTATTTTATTTGTACTGAAATGTGATTTTAATTGTATGTTAACAAATAAAGTTGCCTGGGGGTCAAAGCTATTAGAGCCATAGCAAGAGCATGTTGGTGGTGGTGCACGCCTTTAATCCCAGCACTTGGTAGGCAGAGCTAGGTAGATCTCTGTGTGTTCAAGGATATAGCCAGCATTGGATACACATGCCTTTAATCTCAATACCATAGAAGACCTGGAAGTCTCTACAGACAGGCAGTGATGAGGCAGTCATGTGTTTGGGTTTACAACCAATGAGAAGGCAGAACAGAAAGACTATATAAAGACAACCACACAGGAAGTAGGCCTCTTTCGGAGAGGTAGGATCACCGCAGGAAGAAGGGTAAGGTTTTAGCTCTGAGCTCTGACCTCTTGACTTTCTCTTTTACATTGGTTCTGTGTTTCTTATTTAATAAGATTGTTGGTTACATCTACATGCAAGTTAGAGAGAAAGCCAAGGTTTAAAGACTGCGGCTCTCAGGTGGGATAACTCCTGTGCATCTGGCAAGGTTGCTTCCTTGTTTCCCTGGGTGGTTTCAACTGACCTACCTATACCTTGAGTGACTTTTGTCACAGGAGGAACTGCAGTGGACTCTGTCTATCCCATCCTGTTCTAGCTATCCTTTATTAATAAGCCCTAAGCTATGAGGGGTTAGACGAAGGTGATTAGACAAAATGATTTATGTACACTTTTGTTGTTGTTGTTGTTGAAGTCAGTACATTTCTAGTGGGGAATCTAATGGATTCATCAGATGGGGAAGATAGAAGCCTGTTCTGCTGGTAGTTATCTGATTGTCTCTCCCTGTCTGCCAATAAATACAGAGGAAGAAGCCAACTTCCACTGGGAGACATCCACCTTTCCCAAGCTACTCCCCAAATGTCTGGAAGGGATCAGGATCCGTTGATGATCCATTGATCATTTCTTTTTCTTTTTCTTTTTTTTACTAGGCAAAGAATTTTATTAACCCTTTTCCAAACTTTATTCCCAGGCTTCTTCAGCTTAATTTGCTGCAAAGAATGAATTGTGTTTAAGCAAAAGCTGAAAGAGCTGCGGTGTCCAAGGGGCTCGGGCTTAAAAATATTCACGATCTAGATTTTATCAGATCCATAAACAAGAGAATTTTAAAAAGCAGTCATGATACAAAATAGCAGCTCCCGTAACTTCTGCAGGTGTCACCATCTTCAGAAGTCGCCTCAGTTTAGTTTGCCTCGTTCTTAGACACCTCTCATCAAAATTCTCCACCAGATCTGGGACCTCATCATCATCATCTTCTCCAGTAGCAAGTGGTGCTTTTCCATCCACAGATTGTTTGGGCAGAGCTTCAGCCAGTCTCCTTAAACTAGTCAGACTGTCCGCTCCGAGCTGGTTTAGGATGCTGGGAAGCATTTCTGTCAGCTGCTTTGTCTCAGCGTGGCCTGTAATGGTGAAGGTGTTTGCTGCCAGAGACGCCTGAACTTTCAGGTTGTTAAAGTAGATCACTGTCCCTTGGTTTGTAAACATGTTCACCTCTTCCATACCAGAGATATCGTTCACTCCTGACTTCTTTAAGGAGAACTGCAGTTTTTATCATCTGCTGTGGCTGTTCTGTGAACCACCTTCTTCTTTCTGTAAGCAGTTCCTTTTCCACCAATGCGCACTTGGGCCTGAAGTTTGGCCAGGTTCTCCTGGTTCATGATCGTTTCTTTCATCTTGTCGGAGTGGAAATGGGGCCGCGCGGGGAGCTTAGGGTTCATGCTCAGGGGGTCTCGGGCAGACCAGCTGAGATAAGGCATACACACGAGGGGGACGCAAGATGGCCCCATTGATCATTTCTTAAACCTTTCTTTTTAAGCCCTCACGCCAGGTGATCCAACCCAATCATTCGAGTGGCAATTCATCTTAGATGTGGACACTCGGAAGGATCCGACTAGTTTTAAAGCTCAGCACTCCTGAAGTTCATGCTTCCAACTGTAGGATCCCCACTTTGATTTCCAAATTCTGTGTGCATTTCTAGAATGGAGGTCATGCCCCAGTGGCGGAAACCTCTCTGGCCCCTGCTCTCCTGTCACCCCCTTAATGAAGGAAAACTCACTAATTGCTCTGTCTTCTTGCAGCATTTTAACCAATATTTCTGACGTCCATCAAAACATGGGCTACTGTCCTCAGTTTGATGCAATTGATGACCTGCTCACAGGCCGAGAACATCTTTACCTCTATGCCAGGCTGCGGGGCGTGCCAGCAGAGGACATCGAGAAGGTGAACATCAGTTTGTTGTGACCACATGGGAGATTGGCAAACTCCATGCCTACTTTAGGAAGCACTATCATTTAGAGACAGGAAACTGGGCACGCTATCCACCCATTCCAGCAAATAGTCATGTTCACCATTTGCCAACTGCTGACCTAGAAGCTGGATAGAACAGTGAACAAAACAGGCACACACATAGCACATGCCTGCCCTGGAGTCTATCTGATAGTGCACGCATCTGTCTTTTAACCTAGCAATCAACATTCTTGAAATTTACCCTGAAGACACACATGTCAAAGTATAAAATGCATAAGCACAAAGTTATTCATTACACCTGCAATTGCAAAATACTGGATACCACCTAAATATGTAGGTGTAGTTGGCTGGATACATGTGATACACATGATAGTCTTATGCAGCTATAGAGAAGATCTCTGTGGTCTATTATAGACTTATTGCCAATGTTATTTCTAATATTACTGTATGAGAAGAGGCAAGGTGTGAAGGTGAACATGTGGGATGCTACTTTTATGTAAGAAAGTAGGAAAATAAAGAAGCAGACGTGTGGCTGCTTAGTTTTACAAATAGGACATAAGAGGTAAACCAGACAACAAAGAGTGTGGAAATAAGAGGACAGTGGCGTGAGAGCGAGCTGGAGGGAATGATGCTTCTCTGCAGTTATCCTTTTGTTTGGCTTTGACTCAGGCAGGTGTCCATGCTCCACAGATTCAAAAGTAAGACAAATCAGTAAGAGCAAGATGGGGGGGGGGGTTGGTGGTGAATGTGAGAACAGGAAGAAAGCCTAGCATTGAATGTAATTGGAACAAACCAGTCTATTTTAAAGAATCATGCAGACAGTGGGTATTTATCCTTAGTCATGGGCAAGGCAGAAGGGACAAAGCCCTTCAGTTTCTGATCTTTTGATAGGTACATTTGCTTTTTATAGTGTGTGGACAAAGCAATTCTGCAGAACTGTAGGTGTGTGGTAGACTTGAGTAAATGAACAAATGTGTTGATGTTTTGGGGAGCTACTTTCCTTATTATAGAAGAAGCGGCATGTCATTTTAGGAAAAGGGAAGGCAAGAAGGAACTCAGAGGAGTAGACTGGGACTGGAGATATCCCTGTGTACTCTTGACATGTTTATGTGTATGTAGGTGTGCGCACATATGGCATACATAGTGTGTGTGTGTGTGTGTGTGTGTGTGTGTGTGTGTGTCTGTCTGTCTGTCTGTCTGTTTGTCTGTGTCTCTGTCTGTCTGTCTGTCCCATGAGAGGACCCAGGCACAAAATACCCTAATGGTACTGAGCACACCTAATACTCAGATTTGGTTAAAGGAAACCATGACTCTTCAAATAAAAGACTCACTCCAAGGCAGGATCATCATGTGTTCTTAGAAAGTAGGGAAGGTCTTTAAACAAAATAATGAGGCATGTCCCAAGGAGCCATCTTGAAGAGGCTTCCTATGACCAAATGGAACAATCTAAGCATCAAATAATTAACAACCTTTATGGGGCTGGGGCATGTGGCTCAGTTGTAGAATGCTTGCCTAGCACCCACAATGCCCTGGGATCAATTCCCAGCACTGAAAAAAGAAATATGTCCTTTCAAAGCCACATACAATGAAAATGTGCTAATTTAAAGAGTAACTTGTTGCCGTGATAATTTATAAACCATTGAGAGAACATTAGGAATTTATAAGATCATATTGTTATATAGATAAATGAACAGGAAAGACAGGAAGTTCTGTTTACAATCAGCCCTCAGTGCTGCATAGAGAGGATCTAGAATTGGAAAATCATTTTGCAGTGACCATATATCCTTCAAGTGAACTTGATACCGGCTAATGCCATCCGAGAGGAGGGAACCTCAACTAAGAAAATGCCTCTATAAGATCAGGCTGTAGACAAGCCTGTAGGGCATTTTCTTAATTAGTGATTGATGCGGGGAGGGTCCAGTCCATTGTGGGTGCTGCTATACTGGGCCTGGGGTCTATAACAAAGCAGGTAGAGCAAGCCATGAGGAGCAAGTCAGTAAGCAGCACTCCTCCATGGCCTCTGCATCAGCTCCTGCCTCCGGGATCCTGCCCTGTTTGAGTTCTTGCCCTAAACGCTTTTGGTGATGAACTATTATATGGAAGTGTGGATGAAATGAACCCTTTCCTCCCCAAGTTGCTTTTGGTCACAGTGTTTCATCACGACAATAGAAACCCAAAAATCATCAATGGATAGCCTTGAGGAAGTTTTTAAATAAGAAATGAGATATTTTATATATTCTAAAATAACATCTGTATAAGTCGCTTATTGGTTTCAAAGTAAGTGTATGCTTTTTCAATGAAAAAAAATAGGCATGTTAATTGGTCGATCAAGATTAATGCCATGTAGAATGTTCTCAGATATGATACCCTACTATCATACCTGGCTCCAACATCACTTATGTAGAATCCTGGCTGAAAATGTACAACCTGAGTCTTATCATTAAAAAGCATAAGATAAATTCTAAAGGAACAATATTCCTTTTAAAAGAAGGCGAGAAAGAGGGACTATATATGTTTTTAATATCAAAGCCTGTGGAAATGTTACTGATCACAGTCGGC